GTCCAATTTGGTCACATTAACAAGCCACATACGTATGTGTAGGTCTTTACGTACACTGGAAATGCATGCCGTAGATTGAAATATCATCGTAGGTGCGACGCTCAACATTTGGCGATGTTTACCGACAATCACTGATTATAGATGACGCGCCTGAATTCATCAACCAACGCATCGGCTACCAGCCACACTAGCCAGCGTGCTGAGAACACAATAACTGCCGGGCGCCGGCGCCATCATCCCTCGGCGTGTTTGCCGGACGCAGGCCCATTCAGCCCTCTCTCACCGGGGTGCTCCGCCGCCTGGACGCATTCATGGCGGATGCATTAGCTGATCGCCGCGGTCTGCGCGATTACCGCGCCGCCCGCAAGCGGAGTGTTTTTCCGGAGCCCGCTGTGCCGCCCCCGTCCCGACCACAGGGCCGACCAAGCATTCCACCCCCCCCCCCCCCCACACACACATCTGGGCACGACATCCGCTCAGCTGATCCGAACAAACTCTGCCAGTGCAGGTACCATGGCGCTGCTGTCAGCGGAGGGGAGTTGAGCGGTTTTTAAAGCGGTGAAAAGTGGTTAGCGGTGTTTTAATGACAGATTCACTGTGGGTATTAGCAACGGCGTTTACCGCGTCACTCGCTGGCATATACGACACAAAGTGGTTCATCAGGAGCACATTACTTCTGGTGCGCCGTTATGCGGTCACCGATGCGCCTTGATAAGATGTGCAATCGGGGGTACTCAGCGATTAGGCATGCCTACGCGCATACCAGAGGCTGGATTGAAGGGCGGATCCAGGATCCCATAGTGCTTCATATTATGGGCTCCTTGGATCGGATCCTGCGATCTTTTTGGCCTCCAGGATCATATCCGTTTACAGGCACGTGTGTGAGATGATTAATGATCATCAGACTCGTAGCAATGTGACACACGTTGCATTCGAGATAACGGCCGGCGCTCGAGCTGGTGGAAGGTCTGTCTCCCTTCTGTTGCATTCGTATGCATTACACTCACTGTGGTTCTCACTAATCCTTCACCGGTGACAGCGATTAGCGGCTCTCACGCTGAGAGGTAACTGACAGAACAACTTTGGCGAGCGACGTTCACAAAATATCAGTCACGTGACATCGTCTGACGCGTCTGCGCAGTCGCAGACTCGCCTCGAGTCTGGGAGTCCTCACGGAGTGCTCACCTCTAGAGGCCCTCACGGAGCCCTCATCTCTAGGCGTCCGCGCGGATTCCTAGACTCACGAGTGGTCCCACCTGATGACGTGACCGTGAACGGGTGATTTCTTACAGTTGTGGATGTTGAGTCAGTGCTTTGAAGAATGGGTGGTGACCCCTTGGCCGCAAAGCTCTTTAGAAGCGATCTTCGCGCGTGTAATTTTAAAAATGTTTTTCATTCCATCGATGGGTTATGGCACGACAGCAAACATGTTTAGAACTGGAAACTGCGCAT